TTTTGTTATATGTAAACAGGGACAACTGTCATTGTGTAAATGTCACCCCTCTGCAAAAAGTTCCGATTTTTTTCAAGGAAGATAACTCTTACCCGGATCGAAGTGATTGTAAAATGTAAAATAAATTAATTATAAAGCCATTGTGTATATTTTGTTCAATTTCCCATTCTATATGTATAGATCTTTGTGTCCTGTTGGCTTTTAGCTTGTAGATAATAACTTTTATCCGTTCAAATTCAATAAAAAACACTTTGTGTAACATGTGTTACATATTTTGCGATAAATAAAATATTTGTAGGGTTAATTAGAAATGCTTCTTTTCATTTTATTATTGTTGTTATTGTTCCGAACAATGTCACACCCAAAAAAAACCGGAAAATATTAAAATTGACGAAAATTCATTTTTTTTGGTATTTTTTCCAAAAAAGTCCCCTAACTATCGGAGTGTTTAGATTTTCATAAAATCAACTCTACATAGTTGCATAACCATTATATGAAAGTGTCAACGAGTTTCGCTGGTTAATTACGAAAGTGTGGAGCCACCTTAAATGTTCTTTCACATGACTACCTTGCTAATTAACCCAAAAATAAGAAAATAGATAGATGAAAGTTGGACAGGAAACAAACATGTTTCCTCATACATTCTCGGATCTCTTGAATTTCGAGGATTCTCTCTTGATATATTTGCTTCTTTTTTACAAGGCATATTTTATTCCAGACTCTTGTGTTAAATAACACTATTGGTTAGAGTCGGGCCAAAGTATTACATATCGGTCGTGTCAGGCATAGTGTAGTTCAGTATAACACCGAATGATTAATTATTTGGAAATTGTCAAACAGCTCACCTGTAAAAGTCGATTAGCGTGTTTGTTTGTACCTTCGCGCTCGACAGGTCATCAGCAGCAGGTCTGTGGTCATAGAAAACACAGGCTGTGGTCCGAGTTATGGGTGGGCCAGGAATGGTCCAACAACAACAAACCCACCTGAGAATGTATACAACTGTTACGGTAGAAATGCCGACATGCCATTTTCTACACATTACACGTTTATTTTGCTATTCAATTGTTTCAGATTTCAAACTATATCCAAATGAAATTAGTCGGAGTTGCACAAGTTTTCTTCACTTTGGGGATGTTTTCGATTTTCCGTATCAAATTTTATTCAAGGGTTGTATGTCAAAAAAAAACCTGGAGATATATTTAAGTGTTAAGAAATCCTCTCCTCCCTTTAATGTTGAAAATACAAAATGACGATTAAGTTCATGGTGTAAATATTATGATGATGTCATTATCTTATTTCATTAAGACCAAGTATAGATACATGTATAAGAAAACATATTTCAATAATAACATATTTTCCTGTTTCCACGGTTAATTTATTAAACGAACCAAGACAATGGCGCAAATGTAAGCAGACGACAGTTGCTGTCAAGTGTTAAATTTCTGCTCTTTATACATTCTGCGTAACAGCATAAAACAATCAATACTGGTGTGTTTTAATATAACCCAATGCTTCATGTGAAAGCGAATGTATACAGCCACGGCTAAATGTCACAATTTCTACCCCGCCATCTCTAATCTTAAAATCACACAATGTTGGCACCGCACCAAACCAAATCGCCAATCCTTTCCTGACCTTACAACCGAGTGACCTTTCCACGAGATCCCGCGAGACTCGTCATCAATGGGAGTGTCCTACACTAGAGGGCGGGCTAGAAATCAGGGAAATCAACTTCCTTTACTCGCATTACTATTGACCTTTAGACGTCACGTGCTGTACCGTGTATGACGTCACACAAACAGTCGCTTATTGTTACATAAATCGGAATATCATATCACACAATCGTTCCTCATATGTCGTTATGTTTGAAGATTGCAGCCATTATATTTTTTTATCATCACCGCTTTTAGTTTTTTTTTTATCCCTGAACAATAGAAGGATTGTTTCGTTCATTATTAATTCATTGTCTGCAATAACATATCCGCTCCTTGGTACTGGAGTCCATGGCATCAGACAATTTGCGATCGTCAGATAATTCATTACTATTGGTTCTGTATGTAAGCTAGTGGCGAACAATATATGTGGTACAGCTGTATAGTATACAGTGACTTACTCATTATGAGTCAGTGCATGGTGTAATGTACCGTGTTCATCTATTGTAAACTGTTTATAACATTGTAGTATTAGAATTATATAAGGATATCTATAGTTGTTCATTTCATAAAGTAAAGTCAGAATCAAGGTGATTTTTTGTCTTGTTGACCGCGGAAACAAGAATTAGCAAAATTGACTTGATTTGCAGTAACAACTGGAATTCAAGCAGAGATAGCATCATTCAATGCATAAATAGTTCGTGTCATAAAAATCCTTTGCCATTTTTCGGCAGAACCATTTAAAATGGTTTTGGATTTCCCTCACGTTATTTGACCATACAGTGCAGACTTACTGGTGATCGAGTGCTCGATTAGTTAGGACAGATTTATATAGAATGCGAACTAGAATTTAAAAATGAAATTGGATGGAAGAGTCTGTCATAATTCTTTTGGCGTAATGATCATTTATGTTTATGTGTTGCGTACAATATAGAAATCGAACAACCTAGTGCTAATGAATGTAAGACACACACAGGTGTGATCGCATTTTTAAAATTTTGTGATAGATACAGCATGCCAAAAACGGATTACGTATTGCACTTATGCTAAAAGATGAAATCGAAGAGGCATTGTTGTCATAATCAATAATTGTGTTAAGTGCACACATACTTCAGTATGTTAAAGAGATGTATCAATGAGTGGCAAATACAGTGTTCCGAACAATAAACCTGTTGATGTTATCACAATGCCTTGCCGTTTCGTTTGCTCGCTGTTTCCCAATCTGACCGATTAGTATGACCTCATATTACCTAGACACATATACGTCTCTGTATTACCCTCACAGCCCTATCTGTGTTGAAGGCGACTAAGGATGTAATTATAATTAAACTTAATCCAAAGACACGCAACTGTTTTCAGACTTATAACTACCAACTTTTAAACTCCGCCTAATTTCTTTTTAAGAAGTATTCTTTATCAACACATCGGTTTCTATACACTTTACGTTATGGTTTCTTCATCTCTGCCCGACATCCATGTTGGTGTGTTTACAAGGAACATTAACAAACTTGAAAGAAATAATATTCATTTTCATTTTACTAATGTTTAACTTCTGTTTCAGGTGAGAAGCCTCACAAATGTCTGCAGTGCGGTAAAGCCTTCAGCCAGTCGTCCAACCTCATCACACACAGTCGGAAACACACAGGGTTCAAGCCGTTCGCATGCGACAAGTGCGGACGTGCATTCCAGAGGAAAGTCGACCTTCGACGCCATGTTGAAACTCAGCACATGAGCTTGGACCGAAGTTTAGGACAATCTCTGATGTTGCCATTCCACATTCAAGGACGACAGTAGAATGACAATAGATATGTTGTGTCGTATAATTATCTCATCACTTGGACACGACAGTAGGACGGGTCATCTTTCGTTGTGGCACGGTTCCATACTGATACAAGATAGCACAGGAGAGCAAGACCTTCGTCGGGACAAAGTTGCAAAGACGCTTGAGTGATCAGCGGAGTGTTTTAGCAAAGCATGTCCTACTGTCTAGTGACATTGTCTGTGATGTTGTGTTATAGTGACTCGGCTAACCTGAATAATTGTGATATTGGTCTTGATTTTTTCCTTTATGTAATGTCAAGATGAGCACTTTAAAAATGATATAATCCGTGATACAACGTATAAAGTTTCATGTAAATTTGTACGATAGGCAGGAAAAAAGTCTTGGTGAATAGACCGGTAGCGTATTATCATATTTATTGAATCTAGTCAGAGTGTGTTGTGGTGTTACATTGTTAAAGTGAATTTTTGCGGTCTAGAAAATTTCGCTCATTCAGCGTTGGTTAAAACAGCGCGAAAGTGTCTATACCCAAATGTATTGACATGTTATGGTGTATAATATACATTGTAGAAGCATTGCCCACGCGAAAATTACACACTTTAAAATGCCTTATGAATCAAAGCGTGATGACACATGTACAAGAGAATATTATTAAATTAATTATTCTTATTTCTCTTTTCGCTTTCACATTTGACATATCCTCTGGTCAAAAGCCGTGTTACAGTACATATATTTACATATCTCCAACAGCTAATAATAGAATCAGTTGTTTCCTCTTTGTTGATCGTTTCCCTTTGATTCTGCTATTCTTCGCCATTCATCTGAATGCTCATTCTCCTGTCTATAGATATGTCTGTAGAATATGTTTAAGTGGAAAGGGCAGGAATAAGTTTTAAAAACGTGTGTCCTTTCCTATTGTTATTTATGGTAATTAAATGTTTGAATTAAGTTAAGACGCTTGAACTAGCGGAGCTATCAACCTTTGAAGTGTGGTATAAATAGCTAGTGTCTTATCGTTACCATTGTTTTGAACATGCACTGTAAGACATTGTTGTTCGCTAACAACTTATGATATATGTGTGCAGTGTATATGGACATTAATTAATATGTCTTTGTCACTATTACTTGTAGTTTTCTGTAAGTAAACAGCTCCACAATGAATCTCTATGTGTCCTTGTTTTATGATCTAAGACAATGATCTTCGCATTGCGTCAAGGCTCTTAATAAATATAACTTGTAAGCAAACTTCGCTCAAAAATATGTTCGCATTGTTTCCTGTGTGACCAGAACGTTTTTTAAAGATCTATTTTAATTGATTACTTTAAACATCCATTCACTAATTGAACACGCGCGCCTTACGTCATGTCGATTTCTAGCATACGTAGAAGCTGTTTCCGAGTAGGCAGGCGCTCAGCTGCATATACACTGTTCGAAATAGGCAGTTACATGCACATCAAAAATCGTCAAATATGCTATGCAATTTGTATATATTATATGTGGTCCGAAATAGCGATAAAATTGTTTACACATTTAAAAAAACACCCCATTAAATTGTCTTTTTCCCCCCCAATATAATAAACCATAAAATGTGTTATAACGACTGGCAACGAAAGGGATATCACGCATTCGGAACCGTGTGCCGATTTTATAAATAATTATTTTTATGTTATAATTTTCGATCCCTGGATTCAAACATGGCTTCAAAAAATGCCGCATTATCACCGAAGATGATTTAATTAGTTATTTTCTGTCAATTTATTTCAGAAATTTGAACAAATTATAAGAAAAACCAAGCAAATGTTAAATAAATGAAACACTCAAATATTACTCTTAAAAGCCACCAAATAGCACCCCGGAGACTCGAAATTTCATTGTTCCGTTTAGGGCGGGGTTGCTAAACAAAAACAAATTTGCATTGCCATCGTCTACTGTCTAGCTCCGCGTCTGGTAGGCCATGCTATTCTACTTACTCTTAAAACTATATCTTTAAAAAACCTGAACTGTTCCAACGATATAGGCTAATAACAGCATCCAATCAGTCGTGAGATTTTTCACTTATTACAAGATACATTGCCCCGGTTTCACATGTTCTTTACCGTAGAGTTTTTCCATTGGGAAACATTGCTGAAGTAAAGGAAGGAACGTAAGGGAATTCCTTGGTTATAGACCGATAGTAAAACTGTGCTGTGTTAAGTAGTTCAAAGAACCCTAAAAACAAATCATCACAAGAAATTCGCGTGACAATTATTTCAGATATAATCAAAATTCAAATATCAACTGAAGACAGCGCGCACAAATTGTTTTACTTTGCGATTTAATTTCGGACCATATACTTTAAAACCTTTTGGAAGCAGTAAGTACACGATTCTTTAAAACTGCGTTACTTTGATCAACTGATTAGAGAAATAAAAATATTAGAAACTCTCAAAATGTGTAACTTAAGTTGCATGCTTATGAAATTGAAATCAAATTCTGAAGACAAACTCACATTTTTTTTAAACAATATTTCTCAATTACATTAACTTGAAAATGTAAGGAAACGCTTACCAGACGCGTCCTGGGTCAGCGATTCGGTTGTCCAGAGTCCCATAAGCTTCAGGGTGCTTTAAATATTTCAAATTCTTTATTTTTTCTTTTCTTTTTAATATCTGCGTTGGAATATCAATGTGCTAGCGTATAATAATTTAGGTGATTACTTAACAGGACAAGAATATTTTGTTTTCAATTTTAAGAAATATGAAATTATCACAAATTAAATTTTACCTTAGTGTAAGATTAGGCTGACAAAACTTGACACACAACAGATTCTCGACGCCCAGACAGAGGATCCGCGAGAGTAAATAGATGATCGCTTTATTTGGATATCGGAGATATTTAGCTACCTGTGACCTTTCACACCTGTACCTAACACCTGAGGTGTGAGGGGTCAGTCTCTAGCCGGACAAAGGACGGGTGGTCTGGACGCTGGTGTTATTTACTTTGGCACGAGAGCGTGAAAAGGAACGGGTGGTGGTGGTGTATAGCTGGCCCGGGGGTAGGTACTCCATGTTGGTGTGAGGTCTCATAATAAGCCATCGGAATACCAATACAAGCCTTCTTTCAGTTTCCATTCCTATCTTCGAACACATTAACAAGGTTACTTGTGTAATGACTATTTAACAATAATTTGCTGCATATAGAAAGTGCACTTTTGAGAATAATTGAATACACATTAAAAACGATCAGAATCTTATATTACATTTATCTCAAGTCTGTTCGCGGAGCTCCTTTTGGCCGACATGAGGAGTAAATGTATCGTTCTGATATAATGATATGCTGCAAAATAAATTATTTTAAAGATCTTTTGATTAGAACCCCCGGGGATTCACTTCTTTTTAAGTACAAATATTGCTTCAATGGCTGTTGTCTTCGAGGTATTACTTCTTTGCGCACTTAACATATCCAAAACATATCATTTTGGGGTAATGTCTATTATAGGGGGATCTGGGTTCTCTGTATCCACTAAAGAAAAATATTTTGCTTTTAACTTCCTATGACGTTAATCAATTCTGTATCTTTTACTTAATTACTTAATTACATAATTCATTAATGCATTGGTATTCTATTCTTTGCAAATTAGGAAATTCATAAGAGGTAACAATGTTAAAATTTAAGTTTTATTTCACTATCAAATTTTATTACGTGGAATATATGCAACAGGGATTCCGCAAAAACAACGCAATTCACAAACTTATGCAAATTTGTTTCCTGTTGAAAATATTCAAGCAGGCAGTGGTTTATATGTTGGTTTAAGGGAGAGAATAGAAAGAGAAAAGGAGGATAGAGGAACAGAAAGAGTGGAATAAGAAAGACAGAAAGGTGCAAAAGTGCATGTATTATACATATATTATGGGATACAATCCGTTGTTTCAATTGACATATTGAAGTCGGAGTATTACATAGCTATGTTATAGACTCTTAATTGCATTACAAGTAATTAATGATACAGTAATTAGTAAAGAAAACTTCATGAACATCTACATGTAAAACTTAGTGTACAAAATGTACTTGGTGTAAGATACGGTGTACCCAGAGCAGAACGCCTACTTGATTTTTTAACCGATTATTTCCATTGAAATATCTTAAAAACAGGGAGTTAACACGTAATTTAGAAGAATATATCTAAAAAAAAAAAGACGAGACAGTCTTTTTCCCCAAAAAGGGCGAACGAACACCAGTGTCAGATCCCACAATCTCTCCCAGAGGTCTGTGACTGAAGCACAGAACCCCGAACAGAATGGAAGATCCAGTGGCGTACTTATGAAACCGTTATAAAGCATAATCATGAATTCTGCGCGTAAACCCAAATTTCTTGTAAACGGCTAAAACTATGTCAAACCATCCAAACAAATCAAGCGTCAAACTCTGAGGACATAGTTCGGCTCCTAATCTCTTCAAAATCTTATGAATCATTGATAAAATATGACTTTTTATTTATTTATCATTGAAACAAGAAATTGGGCTTGAGCACAAAATGTGAGTTTGAGAACGAAAACGGTTTCGTGATTACGGGTCCTTGAATTCAGGAAGCCCCAAGCCTGTTAGTTTCCCTTTAAAAACTACGTTTTGGCGCAATTTTCTAATTTGGAACCGAGGCATTATCAGTCACCCCTTCTCTCCAGATCACTTTCCCTATATTTCTCTCAAACATTTGAAAAGTTGGTAATTATCGACGATCTAAGATCATAATAGGGCTACAGAAGAGCGTACTACATAATCTAGCCGGAAACACACACTAAATTGATTAGTGGCATGCGACCTATAAAATGTTTTAAATGAGTAAAATATCGCGGCGAACACATCAATGAATTGAGATTGTTTACCTTCATCTCGCGATAATGAATCAATTCCGGATTTATTGAGATGTAACTGTGAACGGCCAGGTGTATTTGTCAATCCATACCTATGTACCGGTCCGTGATTAGTGTCGCTGTCAGGTGTACAAAACGTATAACGGCAGAACGGGGCTCTGGTGGAAAACTCCGGGAAGTGGCGGTGAGGCGGGCTTATTGACGGGCATGGGCTTATTGCTGGATAGATAGAGTAATCTCCCTTACCTAAATATCTTATCTTAAATACAATCTACACGGCCTTACTCGTCTCAGTTAATTTTGCTATCTTAAAACTTAAGATACTTTCACTTGATGGGGCATATGCTTAACATCTGGGACCAATATTTTAGTAGATTTTGTACATAATGAAAATTAACAGGCATGCTATACCAGTGCCCACTGTACAGATAGTTTTAATGGAAATAACCTTCAATAAGTAATCAGTCATAGCGATGATGAATATTTTCTGAAGGTAACTGCCAGCAAGGTTCTGTTTTGAGGTATCAAATCTAGAAACCTTCAGGCTGAGGAGGGGTTGTGGAGGAGTCGGTAGGGGGTCAAAACCCAGAAAAACCTTCCAGATTCGCCACAGATAATGGTTAAGATGTTTATCTTAAAGAGGAAACCAACCAAACAATATTGAATACTAATTAAGGAGACTGATATGGTTGTATTTATTTGCCATCAAATAACTTGTGTCATTTTACAACTGCTATGAAATATGGAAATATATTGGATCTAATATGAAAAAATGACAGGATAGTTGCCAAAAGAAAATATCAAATCCTGAGGGGGTCTTAACATGGGACTTGAGGGGTCCGGAGTACCCAGAGAAAACCCTCTTTTCTAATTCATGTTGTTCTATACATCACAGGTAAGCATGGTAGCTTTTAAATATAGTTTAAATGCGAGCTGACCCTTCAATAACCCCAATGGAACCAGACTCTTATAAAAAAAAAATCAAAGTAAGTTTGAATAATTAATGAAAGCGTAAATCAGCATGGTTTACTTAATATAGACCTTATCAAGGGGCTGTCTCGTTAGCGGGTCTGTTTTGATTTGAAGCAAATTGATTGGTTAAATCGATGGCAATACGCCCGTTTTAATTAGATTTTAATTGGAGGGAAAGGTCACAGAGAAACGGATATTGGTGCTCCACGACTTCAAATAGATGACAGATCTGGGTGGGTATATACTGTATTGATGGACGGTATTTAGTTGTCGGTTTATCATACAAACTCACACGATAGACTCTGTAAAAATAACGGGATATTATT